GGAGCTGGGACAGGTGTGATGGCACCCAGGACACAGAGCTGGACCCGGGGGTGATGGATCAGCCCCCAGAGACACCCCAGGATGTCCCTGGCCTCGCTGCACGTGCTGCACCCCAGGGACAGGCTGGGACTGGCCTGAGCCACCCAGGGCAGCCCAGGAGCAGCAGCAGGGCCCGGTGGCTCTCGGCTGCATCATCTGCAGGGCTGCACTGACCGAGGACCTGAGGAGATGCTGCTCCTGGAGCACACACGCAGTGCCCACGTGGGGCAGGGCTGGTGTGGTGACTGTGGTGACCCGTGGTGACCTGTGGTGACCTGTGGTGACTGTGGTGACCCATGGTGACCCGCCCTCCCCAGCACACGGACCCGTCACCCCCCAGCACCCTCCCAGCACCCACCTGTTGTTGAGCAGGGCCAGCAGCTCCCCGGCGTGGTACAGGTCGTTCTTGGTGACGCGGCTGAAGCGGAACTCGTTGAGGTTGCAGAAGGTGACGGCGGGGAAGGTGAGCCGGGTGGCCGCCACCTCGTCCAGCTTGGTGACGTGGGGGTACAGGAAGTAGTACTGGATGCGGTTGGTGCAGACCAGGGCCAGCAGGGCCAGGGAGCCCAGGAAACACAGCGCCCAGACCACGCGCTTGAGCGAGAGCCGCTCGTAGGAGAAGATGTGGGAGAGCCCGTGCAGGGTGGAGCTGCTGGCGAAGGCCTGGATGCTCACGGGCTGCCCGCTGTCCACCTCCTCCTCGTCCACTTTCAGGTCCATCATGGTCCGTGCCAGCGCCCCGGGGTGGCCACTCTGCCGGGAAAAGGAGCCCCGTGGGTGCTTGTGACCTCGTGGCCCAACCCATGGCACCTCCTGGGCAGGGGGCAGCCCCCCGTGTGGGGCAGAGCCTTTGCCGTGCCCCCCTCTCTCCGCCCCCCAAACCCACACGGACATGTATAAATACACACACATATATAAATGTATTTATCTGGATGCAGCTTCACGTTCCCTCCCCTCCCACCTCCTCCCCGCCCTCCACTACCCATCCCACGGCAGGACCGAGAGGGTCCCGCCGCCCCTCCAGCCCCCCACCTCATCCCCCCCCTCCCCTCCCACCTGCCCTCCCTCCCCCCCCCTTCCCCTCCATCCCCGCTCCCCCTCCGCCTCCCTCCCTCCCTCCTTCCCCCCCGAACGGCACCGTCGCATCGGCGAAGGGATGAAGGGATTGAAGGAATCGGGGCTCGCAAACCTGGAACCGGGGCCGGCGGCCGTGGCCGGAGCTGGGCTCGCTGCGCTGGAGCCGGGGATGATGGAGCCGGGGATGATGGAGCCCTCTCGCCGCCGGGGGCTTGGGTGGGGGGGGAAAAAAAAACGGGAGCGGGAGAACGAACGTGCGGGCACGGAGAGAGAGGGTGCCGAGGCACCGAGCCCGGCGGCGGCGGGTGAACCGGAAAAGAAGCGGGGAGAGAGGAGGGGGGGGAGAAAAATAAAAATAGCCCCGGCGGTACCTTGGTGCAAGCGTGGGGAGCGGGGGATGCGCCGGGGCCTCGCTCAGCACCGCGCGGGGGGACCGCGGGCGACCATCGCCGGAGAGGAGGAGGAGGAGGAGGAGGAGGAGGAGGAGGAGGAGGAGGAGGAGGAGGCTGCCGGGTGCGAGGAGGGGAGAAGAGGAGGAGGAGGAGGAGAAGGGAGGCGAGCGGGAGGCTGCTTCGCTGCCAAACACATGGATGATGCCTCCCCCCCCTCTCCCCGCGGCTATCTGGGAGCTGGCGATTCCTTCAGATGCATAATCCGCATGAAGTCATTGTCTGTGCGCGCCGGTGGGGCCCGGAGGCCGCCCGAGAGGTGCCGCAAGGCCGGTGGGCAGCGAGGAGGAGGAGGAGGTGGAGGAGGAGGAGGAGGAGGAGGAGGAGGGAGAGGCGCAGGAGCGATTGCAGGCGCTGCCAGGGGCTGTCGGTGCTGCTGCTGTTGCCGTGTGCATGTGGGGAATGTGCGGGTGTGTGTGTGCGGGTGTGTGTGCGGGTGTTCCCATCCCCCAGCGCCTGCCAGGGATGCTCCTCCGGCTCCTCGTTCTGCCGGAGACCCCCCCCCGGGCCCCCTCAGACGGCCCCTGACCCGTTTCTCCCCGGCCACGGCCTCTCCTGCCCTCTGGGCTTCACCTGCCGTGGCTTCACCCCTGGGGCAGCTCCCTGGGGCACGTCCCTGGACACCCTCGGGTCGGTCCTTTTTTTTTGGGAGGGGGTGGATGGGGGGGCACCTTCCAGCCCTTTCTGGGCACCCGCTCGGGGTGGCCACGGGGGCACCTGTTTGGGGTGGCCATGGGGACACTTTCCAGCCCTTTCTGGGCACCTGCTCGGGGTGGCCATGGGGGCACCTGCTTGGGGTGGCCACGGGGGCACCTGCTCGGGGTGGCCATGGGGGCACCTTCCAACCCTTTCTGGGCACTCGCTCGGGGTGGCCACGGGGGCACTGCTTGGGGTGGCAATGGGGGCACCTGCTTGGAGTGGCCACGGGGGCACCTTCTCGGGGTGGCCATGGGGGCACCT